AAAAAAAAAAAAAAAAAAAAGAAAAAGAAAGAAAAGAAAAGAAATGAAACGAAGAAAGAGAAGAGAGCCAGCCGAGCGTGGAATAATTTTTGAGCCTCGGTCGACTACCCCGAGCCCGACCGTTGACAAATTAGCATAACAGGGAATCGACCCAACCGGCGGAGTCAACCCCCACTGGAAACCCCCTGCCAGGTCGTCTCAAGTGCTAGTTATATAGGCATCGGTGGAAGCCAACATCCGACGTTTAACGTTCGAAACCGCGGCGAAAGTTCCGTTTGCTCCAACCGACGTTCGTTCCCCTTCCTTCTCCTGCCCCCCCCCCCTCTCGCCATGGATTCGACACCGGCGAATTGAATTATTTTAGGCCGATTTCGAAATTGACGCGAGTTGCCCTGTCGATATCGGTCGGTCTGCGGATTTGGATTCTACGGATACCTCCGAGGCAGCCGAGATTAGAGCACGTTGCCGGAGAGAGCTCCGCGAGATCGATAGTTCCAGTGATTTCTGCTTGGAAAATGTTTGGTAATGGAATAACGAAGTTTCGTGCTTCGCCTGCGGACAATGTGCTTGCTGCTACGTTGAAATGTCGGGAGAATTGCTATGTGTGTGTATATATAACAGTAATTTGTAGCCTCTTGCAACTGCTATTGTTTCAATTCCGGCACGATTACACCGACTGTAATTGTAATTTTAAATACAGCTGCGATTGAAGTTATTATTCAAAAGTTATAATAATCATGAAAATGAAATGAAACAGAATTGAAATGCAATGAAAAGCAATGTGAGAAGCAAAGATCGAGACTAAACTAAAGTGAACGAGTAAAGTAACTTTGAATAAAGAGAATTTTAGAATTTTTAAACTCCAGGACTATGCAGTCGAATAATATTTCATGCACGTAAAAAAGTTTGAAAATTTTTTTTATTTGAAATCCAGAGCGAGGCTCCAGAAGAAAGGTCATTTAATCGAGAAGTTAATGACTCCTTCGACTGTTCTACGATGATGGAAAAAAATAGAACGATGGCACAAAGCGAAACCTACTTTTTTGAATTTGGACTTGGATCCTACGTCACGTAGCTTTATTTTCGCGCTTAGATGAAGAAAAAGCGGCAGTCGTTTTCAGGGTCGGCCGCGAACGATTCCGAGAGGATAGCGACCCGCAGGGGTTGAAGAACCTGCGTGGGCCACCGCGTTGCGGCCGATGCTGCGCCACTGCAAGATCTTAATCTCCCGATTAGGCGGATGCATTGTGAGAGCAGCGCTGAAAATTGAATGAACGCGCCGATCACTGGGGCTGAAAACACTTAGACGAGCCACGAATAAAGCGTGGGAATATTTATCATTTTGTTCCAGTTTTATCGTCTGCTTTTCTTGAATAATCGATATTTAAATGTATACAAACTGAATGTTACGTTTTAAGAGAAATCTTTATGATTACTAAAAATTGCAAGCGTTTGTGGAAATTCTAACTTTTACGAACGCGTTTACGTACAAACGAAGAGACGAAATCAAAATAGATAGATCGTTTCATTCTCGAAATATACGTTTTTACATAAGCCAGTAAAACACTGGTTAGCAGCGAAAAGCACATCAGGGAAAATCAATTTTTCATTCAGATAGCATTTCTCTTTAGGAATGGTGAAAATATCGTGAAAATTGCGTTTGATAAAAATGAGAAAGAACGGAAAAGAACAAAGGACAACCGTTTGAATGTAGAAATAATTATGTGCAATATACCGGCATGCTTGTTAACTCGTTTCCCCACTCGATGCAAGAATTTAATTAACACAAATATTAGAAAACAATTCCGCTCATTTGAATACGTTTCGGCCGCGCCAATCAAGAACAAATTACGAAAGAATAATGAAATATCTCGCGATAGATACGAAAACGTACCGTTTATGATCTACCAACAGAAACGCGAAATCTCACGAAAAGTTTCATTCCTCTCTCGTTCGAGCGGGGTTCAAATATTTCGTGTCGTCCGAAA